AGTAAATTCTTAGACACGTCCGAATTTATCATTATGATAAATTCGCGGCAAATTTTGAATTTATCATAATAATAATTTCGCGGCACCTAACACGAACCCTAACCCAAACCCCAACCCTAACCACTAACCCCTAACCACTAACCACCAACCCCTAACTTTTTTAAACTTTTTTAAAAATCTAACTTTTTAAACTTTTCTTGCTTTTCAAACTCTTTTAAAACTTTTTAAACTTTTTTAAAAACTATTTTTTTAAAGAACTTGAAAAACTACCCAACCCCGCGCGGCCAGCCTCCCTTTTTGTGCCATTACATTTATAACAAGAAATCTTGTGTAATGCTTGTGGTTTTATGATTAACTCTATTGATAAATTCAAAATGTGCCGCGAATTTATCATAATGATAAATTTGGACGAATTTACTCATACAGTAAATTGAAAGGTGGAGCTCATGTTGTTAATTAAGCATGAGAAAATCTGATTTTGTAGGTAAAAATGAATAGTTAAAGGGATTAAACTAAAGCAAATTGTCTGAATTTTTGTACAGAAATTAAAAGCTCAACAAAGGTTCTACCTATTAACTCAAAATATGATTAAAGCTTTTAAATTTCGTGCGCAGGCCACTTTTAATTTGTTGGAAAAGACCCCCCCCTGGTTTACAAAATTAGAGTTCAAAATTTTTTTTTCGATTCATTATTGTTCATTATAAGTACCCAACGAAGCTATATGCATAAAAAATTCGATACTAATGGCTATTTTGCGAAATTGAGAGCAAATTGATATCTGTTCAGTTTTTTTATACACCCTGTATTAACTCGTCAACAAGTATAGCTCTTTCAAGTTTCAAATCTTTGACTCGTTACCAGAAATTGGAGACAAAGTGGCCGCTTCCTGTATACTACTTTGCATATAATTCATATACAATGGCTTCAGCTTTTACAGGGAATATATAGGGTGAAAATATTTAGCTCGCAATTATTGCAATCTGAGAGCTCGACTACTGTTTGCCCACCTCTTGATCAATAAAGCATTCATTTACTAATGTTTCGGTTGCATATTAATTCCGATCGGGTATCTCTCCTAGCGGTCAAGTCGTTTTAAAAAAATCGCTTTTATGTCATCTTCGTATGGTTAAATTTCTGCCGAGCGATTTTGTTCTCAGATTTTTGACGCTGTTTGGTGACACATTCAACAGTTTTTTAATTTAAAGAGTGATCTATATTACGAGTGTGGAAGACTAGATCTTGAGCAATATTGCTTGGTGTTTTGCATTCAATTCAGTAACTACCCGACTAAAAATTTATATAAGAAAATGGTTGTTTTTAAACCTTGTTAAGTTGTTAATGCAGGCCCAAGCATAGATTAAAGTGCGTGCACTGTAAAAACTGATAGGTTAAAATAACCAAAAAAAATAGGTTATTTGGTTTGGTCTAGGACAACCCGATAAATATAGGTTATTTCAATAGGTTAAAAGAACCGAAAATAAATAGGTTAAAACAAACCATTAAAAATGGGTTGGTTTAAACCCATAAGAAATAGATTGTTTTAATAGGTTAAAACAACTAAAATTAAATAGGTTAAAGCAAACCATCGCAAATGGTTACTTTATAACCTATAAATCTGTAATATGTAATTTTAACCTATTAATTATTGGTTGATTGAACTAAAGATTTATGGTTATTTTGAACAATTAAAAAAGTAATTCCAACCTATATTCAAAAGTTAAAATGACTAAAATTTAAATGTCAAATTGAGCATATTTCAACCAAATAAATATGGGTTGTTTTAACTATAATACAAATGGTACGAATATTCACCAATAATATTTTGGTTGATTTGGCCAATTGTTTTAGTTATAACAACCAGTAAATAACGGTCAAGGTCGGAGTACGAAACAGCGTGCACTTTCGTTGGTTGAATGATGTGGCGTCAACTAAATAAGATAAGCTAAAACTAAATAGGGCAATAATTCTGCAGGCGATTAATCATCCAAGTACGCTATAATCAAACAATATTATCAACTTTATATAAAAATATATTTTGTAACATCTAAAATTACAGTAAGTGCACAGTAGTACGTATAGTGTTACTATAGTCTGTGTTCCAGTTGACTGCACTGTTACTGACACATAGGCTAGAGAGTTGCATGGTATACGCCCGTATTCTAAAAGCTCACTCACGCTCACACTCAATGAGTGGAGGTTCAGTCTGAGCTTCTCTTGAGTGTCTGTGCTGTTTTTGAATAGCTGGAGGATGAGTAGTCGCATAGTAAGGTACGACACTAACCCTTCAGCTATTCAAAAACAGCACTGACACTCAAGAGAAGCTCAGATTGAACCTCCACTCTTTGAGTGTGAGTGTGAGTGAGCTTTTAGAATACGGGCGATAGTCAAGTATTATATATTATAATGAAAGCAATGCTAAACACTTAGCTTAGCATTAATTAGATCGCGATCACCATGCAACCCTGTTTGTGCAGTCTCAATCTCTCATTATTACAATATGTTACATCAATCGATCGCCATATAATCTTAGTTCTAGCTTGTGTTCTATAGTCCACTACACACTTGGTGACAGTTTGTGTTCTTCACAATAGTGCTAGAAAGTTCTCAACACCGATTGGCAGAGTTTGACCAATCCTGTCCAGTAGAATATGCTCGAGGAACATTGCCAAGGTCATTGCGGTATTCAGCATTAAAAACAAAATACGCTGCTAATAAGCATATAATAGTGCTGATTATAGTACTTCCTCTTAATATGGCAATTATACCATAGTGAACTTATCTCTTGTAGAGATCCGGTTGCCAATAGCTGCGGTGTTGAACACGCCTTTATTCTCTCAGCATGCTGAATTTCAAAATCACTCTGCAAACAAAAAATGAGAATATATTATATATGCATGCAACATTAAGGATCTTACAAGGAAACTTAACACCACTATACCAAATATCTTCAGGTAGCCTATGTATCTGCATGCATGTTGCAACTGTACTGCACAACACCCAGCGCGCCCTACTTATTCTTTTAATTAACTTGTCTATAATGCCAGACGATTTTACTCGTCAATAGGGAAGCTCTGCAGCTTAATGAGTTTTTAACCAAAAAATCTGACAATATCTATAGTTAACCCATTGAGCCGCAATGCACCCCAGCATGCCCTGGTTACATTTTTTTACTTGTCTAATGCCAGACGATTTTGCTCGTCAGTGGAGAAGCTTTGCAGCTTAAAGGGTTAATAAGTTCGTTCTGACATCACTAATCAGCTAAAAATGGCATAAGATATACAAAATTGACTTACATTCATAACTTTGAAAAATATCTCCCCTGGAATTTGTTTGCTTGCTGCCTTTTTCCCCAACACATATGGCAAAGGCTGCAAGAATACAGCGGTTTTCCAACTCTACAAAAATCAAAGAAAGGAGATAAATATTTACACATGCATACATGCACACTGCGCAAATGTGTTCACTAAACCTAAATAAAAAGCTTCATGCTGTTCTGCTTAAAATTTTACTGTGAACATTTATAATTCATATATACATGAACTCTTGGTTAGCTCGATGGACTCTTGGGGCTTGGACTCTCAGGGCTCGAGTGTCTCCCGGCTGTTAAAGAGCTGTTCAGAATCACAGGACAGAAGGTTCCATTCCTGGCACAGTACGTACCTATTACATATTTATTGTTCAAAATTTCCATTTACAGAAAGGCTTTAACCCATTGAATGGCAGCACTCTCTCCTTCATGAGTAAAATTGTCACATAAAGGGTTAACATTCTGTTCAATGTAGAATATTTACAAGTAAAATATGCATGTAGTGTGACTGTTCAATCAAGCATGTCATGCAAGTCCATCAGTTAAATTTTAGTCAAAACAAGCTGTATACCACAAGTCGGCAACTCCATTCCTTGCATGGTTTGGTAATCCATAAACATGCTCTCGTGCAAAAGAATAACATTTTTCAAAGAGACCATGAAGTACTAAAATTGTTTCTGATAATAGTAAGTGTATTAGTAGATCTGATCTGAAGCGGGTAGGGAGGTTAAATCTGAAGCGGGTAGGTCTGAAGCGGGTAGGGGAAGTAATATGGATGTTTTCTGGAATGACCCATTGCCATTAAGAGGAGATTTTTTAAAAAGTCGCGTATTTTTTCCGAAAAGCGATCAAAGCTTAGCGGCCAGGCCTTCGCGAAAAAATAATGCGCCGCCATCTTGGTTTTAAAAGTTTCCCAAAATTTTCGAAGACAAATAACAGAATTTTACTGAATTTTTGTCTATGTTACGAGCCAAAACATTGCCAAATATAAAGACAGATGACATGGTAAGTGTAATATCGCATTTAATAACTGTTATTTGAATTATTATTATATAAAATGTGCATATGTATCTGACTCAGTAGTGAGCACTGAGCATTCAAACCCGTCATCTATAATAATATTAATATAAAACTGATTGAAAGTGACTGCTTTCGTCCTTTGAATGATGGCCTGCCTGTTCACAACTCATTAATATATGTACATGCAAAATTGTAAAGCACTCTGTTTGAATTTTCAAGGAAGAATTTATGGAGTTAGGAAGGGGACAAAATTCAGGTCAGATATCGTAGGGGCGGTTTATAACATCGAGTGGCGGTACATGCTGTCGATTCACAACGTCGAATGGCGCTTCATGTCTTCGAGTCGAAGGATTATGTCTTCGAGTCAAAGGTTTATGTCTTCGAGTCGAAGGTTTATGTCTTCGAGTCGAAGGTTTATGTCTTCGAGTCGAAGGTTTATGTCTTCGAGTCGATGTTTTATGTCTTCGAGTCGAAGTTTTATGTCTTCGAGTCGCAAATTTATATTTTGCGGACAGCGGTTTCATTTCTTCGTTGAACGCATTGTTGAACCTTACGGTGGTACATGGTCAGCGGGTGTTTTTCGCTGTCTGTGCAGTACTTCATAATGTATTTCATAATTTTAACCTACAATATTCATTGCAACATGAAGTAGTGGCCTGTCATCTTGCTCAAAATGGCGGAAAACCCAGTCAACCATGTGGTCTCCGTATTAAAAGAAGCCATAGAACATATTCAGAATCAAATCCCTTCTGCAGGCTCTGCAGCGAACACAACAGGCCCGACAGCAAACACAACAAGTGCTTCAACACCGTCGCAAAGTCAACAAGAAACTTTTAATCAAGCTGTACAACGCGATTTTAGGTAAACGTTTTCAGGGTTTTTTCCGCTCATTATTTATTGTACAGGGGGGTTTGAGGAGAAACTGGGAGGGGGGGGCTTTAAATTTTTTAAAACCTGAAAGGGGGGCTTTGAAAAAATACAGAAAGACAAAAGAAGGGGGGCTTTGATTCCTTTGAAAATATTTACCAGTTTGAAAAAAACATCGGTAGTTTTAAAAATGACCACAAAACAACTTAACAAATATATAATGTTTATAGACCTTGGAAGCCAAGTCTCTTATGTTCATGCAAGGGACCGGTCATAAAGTAAAAAGGGGGGGGTGTGCTGGGAAAATCATATATTTGGTGTCTGCATTTTTGGTAGCCCACCCCTTAATAGGTGCATGGAAATCTGTAGCCCACCCTTAAATTGGTGCTGAAAAATTAATGACCCACCCCTTTTCCAACTTTTTCCGGAAAAATTTTTTTCGGACAAGAATCTCCCCCCCCCCCCATTTCAGTACTTAGCCCCAAAAAACCGGAAATTTTAACAAAAAAATTACCAGGCCCAATCTTCTGCATATTTTTACATGACCCACCCCTATCATTGCGCTTAACTTTCGATGACCCAGAAACTGTTTTAGAAGTGGCATTATTCATGACATAACTATTTGGATGTCATCTATTAAATAGAGAATAATACATGGGTGCACAGAAATACCAGATTTATTTCGAGTGTTGAACATGATAACACGAGAAATAAATCTGGTATTCCTAAGCACCCATGTATTTTCCTGTTTATTATATAAAGGACAATCTTTCAAAGCGATGATTTTTACAGAAAAGCGATAATTTTCACATGCGAGATTATCATAAATAATCTCACATGTGAGATTATCACTTTTATCAGTGCTCGAAATCTCTTTCAAAAACTCATTAATAATTCATGAAGCAATTATCATCCAATCTTGAGTAAGAAATTAGTCACGTGCATACGTCTTTATACCAGCTAAAGAACACTTTAACAAAAGAGCATTGTTATGCAAACTATATAAAGATTTTTATATAAAGATTTTTATATAAAGATTTTTATATAAAGATTTGACTTACTATGCAAACCGTTTTTGAAGCCATTTAAAAAACTCGCAGGTCGGGTTTTATTAGGTCTAAAGCCACTCGCGCTGCGCGCTCGTGGCTTTAAACCTAATAAAACACTCCTGCTCGTTTTTTAAATAGTACATAAAGCACTATACTTTATATAATAACAGTGGTTTTTCCAATATGAAAACCAACACCAAAGCAGCACTTTTGTTTGGTTTTGTGGTTAAAAGTTAACTAAAATGTATTTTATCTTATTTCCTCTTAGCAAAGCCTTTCCCAGTCTTGGTGGTGGAGGTCAACGATTACCTCTTCATAACCCTCGACCAGCTAAAAGGCAGAAAGTTGTGTTCATTCAGCCAAAGAAATCATGGACACATGACTTCTGCCTTTTGGCTGAAACTAATCAAAGCAGAACTACATCTCCAACACGCCTGTCAGCAATAAAAGAAGCCGGCCTCGGAAAAAAACGTATTGTTTTTCCTGACAAGAATGCTGGGTTTGCAAAGTTGAAGTCAGTTTTAGAAACTGAATATCCAAAATTGAAATCACAAGATGGTGCTTTTGAATTGATGCGTGCACAAGGTGGTGGTTATTCACGACCTCTGTGTTTAATTCCAATCCCATCAGATGGCTACAGTGTACCATATCTTAAAGAGATGGTGGGTGCCAGTACGACAATTTATATACGTCCAATGAAAGAATCATTGTCTGCTGAAAAAGCTCCTGTGTCACTCAGTCCAGATAGTCCATTGACTGAATGCACAACATGTAATAAGCAAGTTCCAATATTTGCTTTGCGCCAGCATTCTAAAGACTGTGGTGCTATAGACATTAATAGCGACACGGAAGAAATTGAAGATATTTTAAACCAAGATGATGGTGAAGTCATGATAGAAGATACTGCAAATTTGAATTCTCCGCGCACGTCAGAAGATAAGATAGCCGCAGTGAATACCCCAAGCACGTCAGAAGTGAAGATAGTCTCAGACTCTGATATACCTGGTACGTCGAAGCAATGTTGGTTGTCACAATTAGAGATAGCATTTCCCAACGCTGAAAAAAAAGATCTAGAAGATATTGCATCAATTGCCATAACAATTGATGATGCAGCATGTCTGCTTCTAGACAAGCAGACAGCTGATAAAGAGGAAAATATATCCTTGGAGGATTTAATTGAGTCGTTTGTAGAGAAAAACGAATTATCTGGTGACGAATGTATACTTGTAGACCGAGAGACATTATGGATGGACGTTGTTAAGTTCTATAAGAGATCACTTACAAAACCAGATATCCTCCGAAAAGAACTTTGTGTCTCGTTCAAAAATGAAGAAGGTCTTGACGGTGGCGCTATGAAGATAGAATTTTTCTCATTGGCCCTTAACGAGGTAAAATCTCGATTGTTTGAAGGTGCTGAGCCAAATATGGTACCAATCAAAGATGCAACGAAAGGTATGTTGTTTCAGCTTGCTGGTGTAATTGTAAGTCATGCATTATTCCAGAGAAGTTCGATTGGCTTTCCGTTTCTGGCACCACATATTTACTCCTATATAGTAGGAGAAGAAGAGGATGAAACCATATCCAAAATTACGAAGGAGCATATTCCACTGGATTCCTCAACCGCATTATTGCATGAATTCATAAACTGTCTTGAAACATGCAAAAACGATGATGATATCCATCAGCTGTTAGAGGAAAATTCGAAATGCGAAGCATTTTGGCAGATTATAAATTCGTCACGATGGCCGAAAGAGAAGGTGATCAATATGAGTAGTAAAGATTTCCTTTTACAGCATCTTGTGTCGCACGAATTTCTTGTCTCAAGGAAGAATGAAATACAGGAATTTTCAGAGGGATTAAAATCACTCAGCCTCCTTAAGCTTCTTCAAAAGAATAAAGAGATCTGCACAATTTTATTCACCGCTGGAGAATTTCAACCACTTACTGCAGATGGCATAATGGAAATGATTATTGCAGTTGAAACTCACAGTTTTTCTGAACGTCAAGCATATGAGTGGTTGAAATCTTATATTAACGAAGATGAAGATGAAGAGTTTCCTGGTGATTCCCGACAACGTGCACTATTACAGTTCTGGACTGGATGGACAGTGGTTCCATTTGGTGGGTTAGCAAAAAGGTTGAAGGTAGCATTTTTGGCAGATGACGATACTAAGAGTCTACCAACAACATCATCGTGTACAGCGGTATTAAGGATTCCCACAGTCCATAGCTCAAAGAAAGGTTTTTTTGAAGCAATGAACATTGCACTTAAGTTCGGTAGGGTTGGATTTCCTAACCCTTGATTGGCAACCAATGACTGTTGATGACAATTTAACCATTACACAGTATTTAAATGTTTATTACAAATAGGTGACAAGACATTTTAGTAATAACTGATATAATACAAAAGAAAACTTTAAGAGTGTCAGATTATAGCAAGGACGACACATACAGTATCCTTTCAGTACGTTATGTTATGTTATGTTATGCAACTTATGCATTGATTGATATTGTTTCACTTGTGACAGTAAAAACCCACATAAAAGACCATTGCTTTTTGATGACAAGCTGTAGTGATTATTATATATTTTTGTATTTCACTTGTGCAACAAAAATGTTTCATTTATAATAACTTAACAACAGGTTGATATTGTGTTTGCAATATTGAATTAAATGTTATGTACATTACCCAGACATGCTTTCTATATAGAAGTTGAAAAGTCTGTCTAATATATGCTGTATGTCAGCCTGTTATTGTCAAACTTGAAACACTGTTTCTTTTTTGTGGGTTTTAACATTACATATATTGATTATTGATACTTTCAATATAGTTAATTATAGGGAGTTTATATAAGGTAGACACAAGTTAAGTAATAGTGAAATATTTAACGTTTTACAAACAGCATTTTGTGAAACAGTATTTGATTCAGTTCTTAAATCTTAATGTCACATTGTCATTAATAAGTAAATTCAAATACTAATTCCTAACAAGTATGTTTGGTTGTGATCCTTTTTTATAAGTGTTTGTAACTAGTTTGCCTATGAATTGTTACAGTTTACAAGTTGTTGAAGCCTTCAATACATCATCACTGGTCATAATGTGAACATTATCAAAGTTGTGAGTTATAATAATTCCATGACAAACAGTCAAGTATACTTAGTATGAGCATGATTACATGCTATTTTCCTAAGTTAGCAAACCTACTGCATTTCGCTAATATACTGTACCTGATGATAGCGTATAATGAAATTGTAACCAAATTGTGATTATATCATCATCAATAATTAGTATAATTTCAGTATTGAAAAATGGCCTTTGAGCATTCTGATTGGCTCCCTCTAACTGATAACGCTGAGGCAAGCTAATGTTTTTCAAAAAATTGGCTGAAAATCAGACGGAAGTATATTATTTATGCAAATTATATTCATAAAATAAACACGTATATTAGTTGTATTTATAAATAGAACTTTTTCAATACTGAAATTATACTCGCCTCAGGCTTGGTAATCACAAGTCTATAGAATATAGGCTGCAATCACATCACCTTTGGCAGTTAATTGTTAAATAGTAAAAGTGTATTTTATGTTTAATTTAATTATTTTGAGGTTATCCACAAGGATGACTGGTTACACTTGATTGGAGCATATTATGAATGATTTGTACTGTGTTTAAATATATATCCAGTCCATGTGATGATGATGATGCTAATGGATCAACAACTGAACGAAGTAAGTTTAACTGGCTGTCATTCAATGGGCTTGCAACAGGAGGAACATAGACAGAAATTTCATTTAATGTTTCACCATTGTAGACTCGAGATGGCAACGGTCCTTCAAAATCAATACCATACATATTGGCACTTGTTGGTTCTGAGGTTGGAATGTGGCCGCTATGAACTTGGTTTAAACCATACACCCATAACTGATTTGGTGTCATGTTTGATTCAGTTCTTAATGGGTGATTATCATAGCCATTTCTGAATAGATCTAGATGTCGATTTATTCTAGGAAGAAATACATAATGTAAACAAAACATGTGTAATTCATTGTCAATTTCCAAATAACCATTTTCTTCAAGATACCAGAAGACATAGTAAAAAATGAATGTGCAACCATGAAAGACGTCCCTCCAGAGTCTTTCGATACGCTGATTGTGGCAGCTCTTTCCTGCTATAAAACTACCACGATCAGGGCCTCTGGCAGGGTTTGATAGCATAAACCATGCCACATCGACATTTTCTACCCCTTGGTCACCCCGAACTCCTTGTGGAAGACCAAACCTATCAACAGCTTCGATGAAAAGACTAAACACTGTGTTTGCTAGATTGTTGGTGCTTGCTTTCAAAAACATAATCCGCCTCGAGTAGCCGTCTATACACCCGTGGATAACGAATCCCCATCTGATCAACTTATGGTTGCCATCTAAGTGCCACAAGAATAGTGGCCCAGGTACAAAGTATCGCCTTCGGTTAACTAAATTTAACTGCATTAATCTCAATATAATGCCCTCGGGGTCAATTCTCCATAGTGACGATCTGACACGCTCCCATTGCAAATTTATACCTCTTGCAGTTAGAAATCCCTTCATTCTTCGAATACCACAATTTGGAAATTCTCCATAAATATCTGAAACTAATTTATCAAGGTCATCATTTGTAATATCTGTGTATTTGGGAACCTCTTCTTTTAAACCAAATTCCTTAATTCTTCGGCTTATTGTCTTGGCACTGACACCTAACATTTCAGCAATCTTAACTAAGGAGAAGTCATAGCTCATAAAAAGTTTTAGTGTTTCCCTTTTTATTTCAAATGCGGGCCTGCCCGCTGAATCTTTAGCAACAGTAGCTGGTTTTGTCACTGACATCGTTGAACAATCTGAATGTAAACTCATGGTTTCCTCGAGTAATGTATTAAATGCATAAATAAGTGTATCCAGCAAATGTTCCGGAAATACTTGATGCCATAAACCTTGTTCGTCACTGCTAATTCCAATTTGAATGACTTGTTCCAACTTGTATAATGCATGTTCAAATTGAGTGCGGTCATTATTCAATGATACTCCTTCAAAAAGTCTAACCACTTCAGTAAGACTTCTGCAGATAAACTGCTTCAAGTTATCGCCAGGAGAAACCAACGGTGAACTAATAGTTGTTGACATACTTGTATTACATATCGTAATGAAGAAAAGTATTAATTTACTACTGTAGCTCAATGATTTTTTTTACTGTAGCTCAATGATTTTTAGATATTATTTTTATAAAGCAAAATTGTAAAAAGATGAAGTATTGTCGAATGGACAGTTGATCCGCTGACCATAAAATACCGTAAGGTTCAACGCGAAGAAATGAAACCGCTGTCCGACTCGAAGACAAGAACCTCCGACTCGAAGACACGACACGCGAGTTAAAGTTGTAAACTTCGACTCGAAGATATAAAACTTCGACTCGAAGACATAAACCTTCGACTCGAAGACATAAACCTTCGACTCAAAGACATAAACCTTTGACTCGAAGACATAATCCTTCGACTCGAAGACATGAAACGCCATTCGACGTTGTGAATCGTCAGCATGTACCGCCACTCGATGTTATAAACCGCCCCTACGATATCTGACCTGAATTTTGTCCCCTTCCTAACTCCATACCCCAAGGGCGAAATTTTTGACCGTGCAAATGCCGGATAAACAGCTTTTGTTCAAGCTCGTACGCCAGGGGTGGATTTAGACCGTTGCAACCGTAGCATATGCTACGGTCAGATTTTCCCCGAGATATATATTTCGAGGGTGTACCTTTTTTAAAGTTATTAAAAACTAAAACGTTATACTATTTTTAATTGCCGATATTTTCAATTTTTCATTGAAACTTGGTGCAATTTTTTTCAAATTTACTAAATCATATTGATACAATTTTATCGAGTTTTTATTTCATTTTGGATAATTAAATTCGGGTTTTTCTCAAATTTCCGCCCGAAATACTGCCTGTATTTGCGGGTTTTGCACTAGTACTATATCACATCGTCCTGAAGTCGTAGCATTTGCTTCATTCTGATTGGCTTGCTTCGTTTAACCGTAGCAAACCAATCATAGCGCTGTATTTGGAAATTTTTGCGGTGTTCAGATTGAAACTGACCGTTGCAAAAATTTGCAAATACGGCGTGCTGATTGGTTTGCTACGGTCAGACGAAGCAAGCCAATCAGAATGAGGCAAAATGCTACTGTTTGCAATAGTCGCATCGACTTCAGAGCGATGCTGCCTGTGTTATTGTCGTGTCGGCTCCTCGTTGTAATCGAATAGTCGGTAAATTGTAATCGCCGCTCGTTGCAAGGAGAAAGATAAGGCTTCTACAGGACTGTATCACACCACGATCTTCTGTGTATAATGAACGAATGTAACGTGTTTCATTTAACGAAAAGGTGCGTGCGCGAAAGAATTCTGATCGAAAGCTTTTGGTGTGTAATTATTGGCATAATTTGCATTTCCCGCGATGTGATCTGTGAAGAACAGCGCTGTTTGAATCACCTCCGTGTCAGGTCAGTCTCATGAATAGTATATTAAATATGTAAATAACATATCGAATTGTTTACACAGTTCATGCGTCTCGAATATATTACCATATATTTGCTGATGAGACGTATTATTATAAAAATGCAGAACAATATCAATGGGCACTCACAGTCTCACACTATTTGATAGCCATTGGCATGCCATGTGTGTTTATATTAAGACTATGTAAGTAATTTTATATCTTAGACTTTGCTCATGTAATTATTAGTTGTAGACCTGTTGTAGTCTAAAGACTAGCGAGTAGTGTAAATGAAATTTATAGAAATAGTTACACTCCGATATATTATATTGTAGTTTACATGTATACTAACAGAGTTTAGAATTACAACAGCTGAGCCTGCTTCCTGGGATAACGTATCATAAATATATGGTTAGATGTTTCAAATCCATGTAGTGTATACCTCACTTGTATTAAAATTCGCGTCGTATACTCATTTTCGTTCAGCTTTAAATTCACGCATTCCAATTTCGCGAAACCTTGTTCGCGCAGCTTTAAATTCGCGCAAGTAATTTTCTGTGTTGGTTCCTTTTGGTTTGTTTTAATAATAGAACTATAACAATAAATACTTCAATATTTGTCAAAACAAAATTCATGATAACAGTAAAGCGTATAAAGTTCAAACCTCAAAATGTATGGTTTTCATTTGCCTAATAACAATAACAATAACAATAACTAATTTTTATTAGCATCTCATATATTATAGGTTCATACATGGTATTGTTTTACATTATACTATTTACTAACAACGAGTGAATATTACACCGCAAAGCTTTTCGCGCGGATTATATTTCCCGCAGTACTAAAATTTGCGCACCAAGCTCCGCGCGAATTCCTGCTACTTAGTACTGCTCGAATTTTAGTACAAAAACATATACAAATAAAGATTTTTCCTAATTGCCGTTGTGCTGCTGTTTCAAGATTATCTACAAATAAACATTTTTCCTATATTAACTTGGAGATCATCTATATACAGTACAGAAAATAATTTTCCTGACTGCCATAATTCGGGATGATCTATATATGCTGCTTGGCCAGATAAACATTTCCCCTAACTGTCGCTTGGCCAGATAAACATTTTCCCTAACTGTCGTTGGGCCGCTGTTTCAAGATGATGTACATTTGAAAATTTTCGAACTACTGTTATCTTACTTTTTCAAGATAATCTATTGTTCGAAGTGGTATGTTGATGAATAAATTTTGTAACTTTTGTGCGTTTTTTTCTTATTTTTGTGTGAAAAACAGGCACTTTTCTACAAATTTTAAATCTAATTTCGATGCTCAGAATGCAGGAAATGGTACTTGCGGGCTTCAAATTTCAAAAATTTTCTTGGGGGGGCATGCCACCAAACCCCCCTAGGTAGGGCGTGGCCTTCGGCCCCGCATGTTGATTTCATCGAAAATGCTACGGTCAGATTGAGATGCTGAATCCACCCCTGTTAACGTAACCGCACATTGGGCTATTCCAATTTCTATCCGCACCCTCCGGTGAGGAACATATTTAGATATTTTACATGATTATTTGTATAGAAATGTATTTGTCAACTGCACTACACTACATCCGATGAATTCCCGGGTGGCAATTTCAAGTTTTTAGAACCCTACCATTACCAAACAGACAAAGTCATAAAACAGCTTACCTGTACATGTTTTCTTAGGTTTGAAGGCGACGAAATGAACGCAGATATCTCTCTAACAAGTGGCGAGCAAAGGCAACATATGAATTTGATGCTCTTGTTCTCTCTTCCCACTCTTCCATTGTAGCGAAACATTGACTTCAAATATGGCCAAGGATGTTCCTCCTCTTCTCCTTTTTTACCGATAGTATTAACACCTTCTAGTCCTTGTCCTTCGTTCAAGACTTCGTCTGCAATATGCAAATCACTGTCGGCCATGGCTGCCCAAGCAATTCGAGTAGAGTTCAATGATTGGGCCAGTGAATTCGGCGCAATAATTTGGCGCGAAACGCGTGTATTGTCGCATGTGTTCAGCGGAATATATTAATTGTCTGTACTTCGTGTAAATAACTATAAATTTGATTGCGATTGGAGTCGAGTTTAAAAATCGAAATTCATTTTAGAAATCACCGAATCAGGTAAAAGATAGAACTAAAATTTGATAATACCATAAAAGTAACGGAATACTTCACCGCAAAATAAAAATAACGAAGTAAAACGTTACTTTTTGAATTTACTTCGTTCCAAGTAGAAGTACTCTGTCAAAAATTTACTTCGTTACTTGCTCACTTCTCAAAATTAGTACTCAAGTAAAGTAACGAAGTACATTTACTTCGTTACTTGTCACCACTGTATTTTACACATATCCTTTCAGGAAATGACACCAAAGTTTAGAATATATTCAACTTTTTCTCATTTTCTCCTTTGAATGTTTGGCGAAGCAGTGAGTATAAAATATATGATTGTTTCGGTTTGTGTAATGTTTTGACGGCACTTGACCCCCCGTTCGAAAGGTTATATTGTGAGGATTTCAATGGTGGCATTTATTTAAAAGGGGGGGGGGTAAATACTCGCCGAGATATTTATATTAGAAAAATTGAATTCGAAATGTAATACGAGACAGGTTGTCGAGAAAGAGTTAATTTCCAAGCTCTAATGTTCATGTAGTCACTACATGTATTGTCCAAGGTGGGATCTGGGGGTTCGAAATCAGAGCTTTCTTTCTCCTAGATGGATTGCCTCCTACACAAAGCATTCTGAAACACAAGCCAGTTCATATTGTACTATGATTGCCTGATCTTGTGCATGTCACAAAGAGTGGTACCATCCCATACATATATTGTCAGAACAAGCTGCCATGCCCATGCCCCATGGCCTGTCTTGTGACATGAAATCAAACAACACAGCAAAACTCTGCATATAATACTAGATTTTTTCCAGGTTAGCCTAAACAGGTTCTTATGTGAATGGTGCTTACCTGAATTCATGTCACAAACTGCAATTATATTTAGTATATTCAGTACTTTCATGGAGGCACAAGCCCTTGAGTCATATTCATGCCTATCCCCTTGGTTATATGTGTTTTAATAATAAGTGTTTATAAATTATTTGTATTATCATATAACCCAATAAATCTGTTAAGAAAAGGAAAGACTGATTCGTTGATGTAAATAAAAATTTCATCAGTGTTTC